ATACGGAATCGACACACCTGTTCCCTTCTTCCTCGCCCGTGACAGCCTCGCAGTTGTCGTCCTGGTGTCGTTGACATCGCTCGTCTTGGCCCGTATAGGCCTCCCATGCTGCTCCTCGTAAGCTCTCATGGAATCATGACAAGTGCCATCGACGTTGCCGATCGATCGCGCCCCCGCGGGCACATCTGCCGGTCCATATGCTGATGTCTGTCCGATATCGCCTGCCCTCCGGTCCATGCCCGCACCGTCGTAGAAAGACCTCGTAGGCAATGCGCTCGGCGTGGCCTGCCCGTGGGCGACAGGATCAGCGGCAGAGGGGCGTGAGGGTGGTGGACACATAATGTCACGCATCCCTGTCAAATGCGGTTGAGGCTCATCTGTGTGCCCGTCTCCAACATCATGTGTGCTGGGCCTGACAATGCTGGGGTGTGAGGTCGATGACCCTCTGCGCTCAATGCCCCCCCTGAAGGACCGTCCACCATCTGCGCTCCCTGGCTGCGCTGTATCCTCGCTCACGCCCTCACCTCCGTCCGAGCGGATAACTCCGGGAGGCCTCGCCTCTAAAGTCTCCGCTGGCCCTCGATGTGGCTCTTGCTGCGGGCCCTCCTCTGGTGGATGGACTAATGACACGTCGTCCGATAACAGCTGCGAACCATGACCCCCCTGCGCCAAAAAACCTCCAGACGCTGCCTCTAGTGAACCTTCCAGACTACGTTGAGCTGCGACGTGCGGTCCACCACGACGGTTCCGTGCCAACTCCTCCGCCAACCCCTGCTCCACCGCCCACGGTGCACCGACCTGAAAAATGGCGGGAGTGCCGGACTCTGGAGGATGCAGTATCGTGTCGCCGCCGAACTCGTCGAACCCTCTGTCACGACGCGCGTCATCTTGTCTAGCAGGCTCCGGTGGTGCCACAACCGGCAAAGTGGTAGATATCAGTAGCGATATATCGGGCAGAGATGCCAAGGCGAATTCCATAGTGAATAGCTCGTCGGTGGGCGGAAGACTGTCGGGCGGGCAGTCAAGGCCGACAAGGTGGTCCGTCGGAGGACGTTCGTCCTCCCCGTCCTTTCCACAAGTGGGAGTGGGTGCAACCTCTCCCTCCTCTAGACCGCCGTCACTCGTGTGAGGAGGCGGCTCACGTCGTGCCTCGCCGTCCTCCAAACCCGCTCCTATGGAGTGGACTGGGGCGCCTGCTGAAGTGCACCGAGTCTGCGCCTGGCGGAGTGGACCGGGTCCTCCGAACTCCGTCTCCTCCTCTATGCCAACAACTGGCGCTGGCGACTGGGGATGAGTGATCCTGAACCCTATATCCTCCTCCGTCACTATCACATCAGTGTTCGAGGCTAGCTCCTCTGCATGAACCGGGTCGCGCTGCGTCCCATTGGAAGGATCTCCCATCTCGTCCTCTGACACGGCAACCGGGTCCTGCCGCATGTCACGTGCCCCCGTGTCGATCGCAATGTGGACACGGCGTCTGCGTACACGAGACGCAATACTGTCATCCCGCCTACCCCCGTGTCTCAACCGCTTCAAAACGTAGCGACCACGGGGCATAAAATCG